TCACCCGGACTATAACAAACCTTTTATTATACGGACAGACGCATCGATACAAAGACTTGCAGGTGTACTATTACAGAGACAAGACAACGACGAGGTACCAATAGCTTTCACATCAAGGGTGACGAAAAAACACGAACGAAACTATAGTGTATCAGAAATAGAACTAGCGAGTATAATCTTCACAATAACAAAAATGAGATTTTATCTATTAGGCAACAAATTTACAGTACAGACAGACAATCAAGCTTTGACTTCAATACTAAGCAACAAATTTGGTAATAATCGCATCCACAGATGGGCACTGTTACTTACAGAATATGACTTTGACATACAATACATACCTGGAAAACAAAATATACTTGCAGATGCTTTGACACGAATGGACAGTAGACAAGTAGACGAACCTAGACAGATTAAAGTAGGAATAAATTTAATGAGAGACAACGACGGAATATTTTCTATGACAGCCATACAAGAAGACCAACGAAAACTGACAAACGAAGAAAAGGCAAAATTAAAGTTCCAAAATAACTGTTTCATAAAACGGATAAAAGAGGAAGAACTATATGCCATTACGACGGATTTGACGAAACAGATAATAGAAAATTTACATAAAGACTATGGACATGTTGGGTTAGACAAAACATGGAGACTATTCCGAGAAAATTATTACAGCAAACATGACAGACAGATAACCAAAAACATAATACAGACATGCCATATTTGCCAAGTAGCCAAAGACAAAAACGTACACTATACAGGACAACCAAAATCAATACGTACAGAAAGACCAAGACAAGTAATTGCCATTGATTTCATTAGTAATTTAATACCTAGTTACAGAGGTAACAAACACATATTCTTGGTAGTAGATGTGTTTTCAAAATATGTTAGAATATACCCATGTAACAAGACGAATACGAAGACAGTGGTAAATTTACTAGACCGATACCGACAAGAAGAAGGACCTTGTGAAAACATCATACTAGACAACGCAACTTACTTCAGAAACATACGGATGACAAATTACTTCAGACGGATAAAGACAAGACCTCGATATACTAGTATCCGACACCCACAGGCAAATCCGGCCGAGCGGTATGTGAAAGAAGTGGCAAAATACTTACGCATATTGGTACATCACGACCAACCACAATGGGAAGACTACATATCAGACGTTGAACGATACTTGAACGAGACACCAAACAATGTGACGGAACAAATACCTCTCACAACATTCAAAAACATATTACCAGACAGACCATGGATAACATCAACCAAGACAGAATATGACCAACTGATACAAAAAGTGAATGAGAGACTATTACGAGCAGCAGAACGTTACGAAAAAAGACTGACCAAGACGAAGAAAAATTCAAAACAATTTCAAAAAGGAGACTTAGTGATTGTAAGAACACTCAGAGTTCCGAACAGACGTGAAAGCCGATGTGCAAAGCTAATGTTGCCTTATGACGGACCGTACATGATAAATACAGCAAACGGGATGAACAGCTATGAACTCAAATACATAGACAGTAACAAGATAAAAGGAATTTATAATATAAAACAATTATACCCATATTTCGACACACACAATTATAATGTAGTACAAAATTAAAATCAAAAATTTACAAATTAACACAAAATTAAAAAAATAATAATAATTAGATATACGAGGTAAGAAAGAAGAGAAAGTTGTATTTAACAATGTACAGAAAAATCTAAATAATAATTACAGAAATAAAACAAAAGCAAAAACACAACACTCAATACATTAAACACATAAATTAAAATAAAAAACTAAAAATAAATTCAATATTTAAAACCAAACAAATAACTGTAACAATATATATATTTATATCATATTGCTTTCGTGATTTCTGGGATAACAGATCTAAAGTTACCATTTTTGCGGCTTCTATAACACTTGATGGTGTAATAAAATTAATTTCATTTGCCGTATTTTCTTCAAAATCCATTTATTTTTTGACACAAAATTTACAATATTTAAAGACAGCTTAATTGTAGTTACTAATTAACACTAAACAACTTACAACTATTTTACTTAGGTACCCTTTATCCAGTACCTGACTTGATATATACAGGGTGTATCACGAAGAGAGCCCAGTAGGATTATCTCAAAAAGTAGTCAGAATTGAAATCAGAAAATTTATATACAAAAAGATCTATTCAATGAAAATAGTGTCAACTTCATCGCACCGGAATTCCGGTTATACCGGAAGTCATCATCAACTCTGTTATTTCAAATGGAACACTATGTATATTTATGCATTTTTTAATTTTATTGCAAATATTCTATACTATTTTCATATCAGGTACTATGGGCCAAAATAAGACCGTTTTCAAGTTATTATTAATTTTTGAAAAAAATTAGGGATGTAAGTGATTTTTGAAAATAGAATAACACCCGACATTATTCTTTATTTATTAAGCAGTGATGACTTGTTTACCGTGCATGACATATAGAATGCCACATTTTTGAATGACTCATAAGTAAGGCTGTCAGAACTGAGCCGCGGGACATAGGCGTACGCATTATTTATTAAAAAGCAACAAATTAAATTGTCTACAAATACACCATCATAAACACCAACGGATTGGAAATAATTACGCAACATCCGCACGATAACAAAGACAACAGTGACTTGAACGTGAAAAGCATTTTGAGGCAGCTACTCGTGCTTGTCTCGGTTGACCCGCTTGGCACGCCATTGAATTGCGGCTCTCTCTGACAGCCCTACTCATAAGCTTGATACTTTTATTTAATATTTTATTTAATGAACCTGTTACGCAAACTATTTTATTACATTATTTAAATTATATTGACTATCACTATCTTGTAGTTTTTCACGCCAAACTCAACTAAATTTTATATAGTCTACAACGTTTTGTATTGAGTAAAGCATAAGTTTAGGTGAACATCGGTCAGTAAAAGTTTAGTATTTAGTCAGAAACATGTTTATTTATTGATGATAATAGGAAACACAAGGGCAGGAGGGGGAATAAACATTTTCATGAAGATATTTCAAAGATTCTCACTTATCGTAGAAAATATTCCTAGTTATTTAGCTCATTTGCTCGTATTCAGCAACACTGTATAGTTGATATATACTAGTTATAAATAGGCTTAGTGCATGTGCAGAGTCTAACAGAGCCATCGCAGGGGTCGGTGGCCTTCACAGCTGACTCGCATTTTGAACTATTCAGTTATTTACGGAACCTTGTAGTAGTTGGTGTCGCGTAGTTCTTTTTTACGTCTGTTAAAGGAAATACATGTGTTGTACTGTTTGTAAACACATAAATTCTTGTTACAAAACTAAAGTGACAAGACATTTGAAGAGCCATGCCTCGTCCAGACTCTGTATTTTTCTATGAAACGCCTTTCTTTCAAGCAATATTCCATTAATCAAACTAGAGAACCTCGAGTTCCGTAATTCCGTAAATTGGAATCCCTAAATCAACAATTTGATACAATGGATGATGTACAAAAAAATATATATGATGCGAATAATATACGCCCACTCAGCAGTACGATAAAAGAAAAAATGCAAAGAGTGTTGGAAAAAAATTAAGGATACACCATTTTGGAAAACATATATAAAGTTTTATCTGGTACATATCGTGAGTTACCAGCAAATATATTAATAAATATATAGTTCATGCCTCAATAATTTCTCGTACTGTCCATTGTCAACCATGTTGTCAACAGTAGACGTTGAACGGTCATTTTCCCTACACAAGTTAATATTAAGTGATAAACGTCGCGTCGCCGTTTCACTTAAGAAAACTTAGAAAAGCACGTAGTAATATGTTTTAGCTCCTTCCAATATGCCACGGAAGCCTTGAACTGAAACACTAAAGTTTATCGGGTAAGTGGTGTCATTTAAATTTATATAGGTATTTCATCCTCCACTTAGCCTTGCTCTTTGGTAATAGTACTATGTTGCGACATATTTTCTGTAAATACATATATTAATATTTTCATTCGTAATCTGACTACGGTCCTGTTAAACTCCGCGCCGCACTAAGCCTAGTTATTATTATAAACGCCAGTCAGCGGTTCTCAATAAGTTTTCTATTAATAAATCGGGCATATTTATTTCAAATCTGCCTTTTTTGGTCCTAATTTTTTTCACAAAAAAATTATTAATTATACGTTTTAGACAATAAACTACACCGGTGTCTAAAATATATGTAGACATTTAAGTTTTACTTTTATAACTAACTAGTTACTTTTTGGGAACTTCAATCTTACTGAATCGAGTTCGGGAAGTCCGTATTTGGCCTCGGATTGACCCTACATTTTTCTCAGAGCAGTTTTAATCATTTTCCCATCAGATAGGAAGTCTTATCTAATCAATGAATCATCGTGGGAACCGAAGCATGTGTCTTCGAAGCAACCGACATCGCCTCTGAATATGGAACCTCCAGCCGGCTTTTCCGCGTTAACCTTGCTCCATTTTCGGGTAAATGCAATTCTGCATACGACTCGATCATTACCGAGGCGCTGCGGAAACAGGAGTATATCCGTATCGTCGGCTCGAATTAGATCATTCCCGATACCAGAAAATGCAATATTTACGAGATTTTTGTCAGAAGGATGTTTTCCATTAACCTGGTTTCTTATTTTTCGCCTCGGTTTCGTTCACGTAAGCGTATTTTGCCGTTACAGCTGCAGTATCTTTTTTGAAAACTGCTATAAAACGTTTCGGGGGGCAAATATTCTTTATAAAATATTTTACTCTTAACGTAACGCATAATTTTATAAACTAGGTACATTTGTACGTACTATGACGCTATATTTATTTATCTGATTAAGAAATAATAATGAATATTTTCGCAAATGAAAATGATTAATATGTAATCTGCTACCTTATCTGTTATAGGTACCTATTTACATTAAGTATCGAGTATTTTTTAATCCTCTCGATGCGTTTCTGTAATATACAGAACTTGTAACCGTAATAATCTTATTTTAGGTAAATTATGGAAGCGACGAGCATGGATGATAGAAAAAGATACAATGGGATGGAAAAATACTTACAACGCGTCAGTGGGACTTACGTATCTGTTCCCAAACACGTGAAAACGAAAAACAACAGAATACTGAAAAAGGTGAGTTTAATTTTCTCTAAATATTCATAATTTGACAGTAACAATATTACAAAAAAAAAATTATACTACCTATACTTTAAAATAACATTTTTCTAAAATTCTCATCATGAAATCAGTTGTCTCAATCGATATTTCCCCTAATTTTTCAAACTGAACATCCTTAACCTTTTTGTTCACTTTTATTAAAGTAGGTTTATAGTTATTTTCGCTAATTTTGAACATATTTCACTTTTTTATAAGAACTGATGAAAAAGATGTTTGTTTAAAAAATCCGAAATAATAATATTTTAAAATTTGTAAAGTTGGCATATCTACGGAAAACATCCTGTATAAATTAATGAATGTCTCTTCTTCTTCTACTCTGTCAAATATTCTAGTTCTAGCTACCACCATTCAAAAATTATTCTAAATTCTAAGAGACTATGTTTTTCACAATGTTCAGGGAACTTTCTAAACAATTTGGCAACGCTGCAGCGAAATGTAAACCTATTTGCATCATCAGTGTATGGAAATAAATGAGGTGTTACATTTTAAAGAACTAACTTCTTAACCACTAAGCTTCATGCATCTTCCCACCTTTTTGAACATTTTCTGTTTGCATCTCGAAAAATAACAGTGCTATTGTACTCTTGCCCACATATTTTGGGACACCCTGTATATCACGCACTTCAATAAATAGTACCGTTTCTAAAATGAATCTGTTTTTGTTTTCAGAACTTAGCGATGACTTTTTGTTTCAAATTACTTTTCAGTTTCGTAAAGTTTCTCATCTCTACTTTTATGGATGTGTACTGTTTCTGAAAATCCACATGCGGAGGCCTCGAAATGAAGTGAATTTGGCTGTCTCTAGTTACTTTTTATGCTTATGCTTCCTTCCTGCCCCTATGATTAATCTTCTCGATTCTAGGTCGCACTAAATGACGTCACGAATTAGCGCTGCGGCAAACAATATCAATAATGAATTATTAATTAACAACCTCTAAGAGATTTCGAATATATTCATTACACTATTATACAAACCTATAGATTGTTTCTAGACATTTAAAAATATATACAGCGTGTCCCACTAGTGCGGGAAAGTCCAATATCTATGTTAAAATGAGGAATATATGGATTTTTCTTTTTACTGTGTTGCCACATTTCTCGGAATGTAAAAATTAAAAATATATTCAACTATACAGTGTGTTCCACTTTTCCTGGACAGACACCAACTTTGTTTCTTTAAATGGAAACACTCATTTTTTATATTTTTTCGGATTCTACATAAAAAATAAAGGGTACTTTGTGTAGAATAGTTCTATTCAAATATTCACAGTTTTTGAGATATCTCACTTGAAAGATTTTTCTAGTCGATATTGGCTGCTTACATTTTCTGATACTGACAGGTTATACTAATAGCTACTAAGCCCATTTTTTTATCAGATGTTTAGTAAGGATGACTCTTCCGAATCATGCTCCAAAAACTGGCCTGCGTTATACAGGGTGACCAAAATATCATGTCAAAATTGCCAATTGAAAAATTGAAAAATCTCGA